GTCCCGTATATACAAAAAGAAATACTAACGAGATAAATTCTTTGTCACTTTATTTTTTTGCACAATGTTTTATAATATTAGCATATAAATTGACGTTAAACTGTGAGATGAAAGATAGACTATGAAGAGTCTCACTTATGAGACAATTTCATTAGCATTTCTTATATAAATCCCTAACACAAAAACATATTTTACTTCGGTGAAACTTCGTTTCAAATAAAATGTGAATTTATGATCTACGAGGTCGGAAGAGCTCTCAAATTCTAATTATCCCTTCTAATTGATTGAAGAAAAAAATAGATTCAAACTTGCAATCTATCTTAATTCTAACATTTCTCACTCCTCTCCGCTTTGGCTTGCTTATGTCGCTATAGTTAGTTAATCGTAAGAGAGCAATTATTTATTTTTTTCAACAAAAACTATATGATAATGTGATTTTTTTTTTAACGCAAGTAATATCTATTTTAAATCAATCTAAATTACAGAGCCTACGAGATTTATTTTTTGTTAAGCGATGAATTTTGATAGATTAAATGTTAAATTTGCCACTAACAGGGTTTGAATCTACGCCACCATGTAAGAGCTCAACACCTCTCCACCCCTGTGGTAAAGGGCCACATGCCAGAGCCTGAGAGTTAAACTATGTATATATAGTGGAGAGCACATCTTAGCTACACTCCTACCTCTTCAATTATATGATTGTTAAGTTTTGCCAAAAATTGCTAAACCAAACTGCTCTAGGGCTGGCCCTGAGAATTTGGGGGCCCTAGGCGAGCCTTCGAAGTGGGGCCCTAAAATTCTCTGATCTTCGGTTCTTTGTATATTGATTTGTATAAAAAGAAATCGATAAATACATAAAAAGTTCTATTTTCACATCAAATATCATTAAAAATTAATATCAAAAGAAGATAAATATACAAACATTATTGAAACATTACACGATTCACCTTTTTAGACACAAATATACTAAATGTTTGCAGTCAAGAGTCTAAGATTGAGAGTGAAGAACAATAAAACTTGATGATCAAGAGAGTAAATAACAATAAAACTTGATTGATGAGTATAATAAATTCAACACCAATTGTTTCTCTTGTGTTTTTTTTTTCTTCTAAAATCAACCTCACACTAACGAATTAAATATTAAAATAATCCATTAAATAAAAAGTTATTGAAAAGAAAAATATAAATTTAAAGTTTTGATTACCTTAAAGTACAATCTTTAAGACCATATGATAGTTGGTTTAAATATTCGATAGAAATTGAGAGAATGAGAAGTTGGTTTAAACATTCGATAGAAATTGAGAGAATAAGAAGTTGAAAGAAAAAAAATTGCGAAGGGACTTGAGTTTTATAACTTTATATGTATTTGGATATATGGATTGCGAGTTGGACAGATAGATTGGTAGTAAATTTGAAAAACAAGAAAAATCAAGAAAAACCTAGTGACTTGCTTCGTGTTTCAAACTCAACACCCCAAAGAAAAATGAAGCCAACATTTCCACTGCACTAACAAATGAATTATGATATTTCTTACTTTTTTTGTATTTATATGTTAATTACAAGATATAAATTTTTTTTGGGGGCCCTTCCGAAGTGAGGGTCCTAGACGAGCGCCTACTTGGGCTACCCTCAGGGTCGGCCCTGACTATTAATCTAACGTCAAGGCCAATTAAGTAGTAGTAATTGGGGTCCATAATTATAATACCATACAATATACAACACTTTCAGTTTTTTTTTTTTGTAGTCCCTGTGGTGAGATGCTAATTTTAATTTGGCCCCTATAGTGAAAAATAAATGTTAACGATGACCTTGCGATCAAGTCCGAAGCAATAGCGATCCAATTTGCAACTTCCTTCGTTCTTTCGTTAAATGTCCATTAAGATTTCTCCACCAACCATAACTTAACACGTGAGCATGTATGTTATTTTTTAATTAGATGTGTGTTTAAATAGTTATATTGTTAAAAATATTTTTTGTTTCTACTGCCTAAGAAAATAGTTTCTTTGAGTAACTTGTTTTTAACTATGTCAAGGTTTTACCGTAGTATACTATGCAATTTGATGTGGTAGTATGACGTGTCAATTATCGTGTTATATGTGTTTTTTTTCTCACACAATGATAATTAATCGATTTTGAATACAATAACAGTAACACTCTCATTACATGAAATTTGTTCGTTTTACTTTGACTAATCATTAACTTGTGAGGATTTCGAAGCTCTTCCCGATCAGTTTGGAAGTGAGTTAATTGCAATCTAAAGCTGTAATTAATTGATATAATTAGGTACTGTTTTTATTTTTCAAGGTGCTAAATGAAGTTTGGGCATGATTTGCGCTAGATTTCAGTCTAGCAGCCACAAGCCGATCTCTGGTCTATGACGTATGTCTTGAGAAATGCGCTCCCAACAGAATACCATCATTGGAAAAAGAAAAGTCAAACAAATATTGCTTAATATGTCAGCCTTCAAAATGTGAGCAAAGAGTATTTTTACCCACTATCATGACTATCGTGTGTTCATACTTAATAATTTATCATTTATCATTTCACCTTATTCTAGTTAAATTTCATATTAAATGTTTCATTTTATTTTCAAAAAAAAAAATTAACCAAAGTTAAATAAAAATACATGTGACAAATAATTAATTTATAATGAGCACATACCATAATTTATAGTGATGAACAAAATTGTTATAAATAAAGGTATAAACATGGACTAACACCCATACACTTATTCACTATTTTTATAATAACTAAAAGCAATAATATTATTTTATGAAATAATGTTTGTTTACTAAAGTCTAAGAATCTCGTGGAAGTTAGAGGTTTTAGATTTGAATCTCGTGAATGGCGAGTTTAATACTAAATTAGATTGTCTATTATGTGGCTTAACCTTACCTTCCTCCTTTTAGTGTAAAATTATGTCGATGTACCCATAAAAAATATCATGCTCATTCTTTAAAATGAATGGAATTTTCATAAATTTGTGACGTGCAAAGCACTCGTTAGGAATTGTAAATGTCTTTTTCGTTAAAAGTGAACAGTACCGAAATTGTTTCGTTAAAACTCCCTTATTATAATTTATAAATACAAAAGATATTGCAATTATTAGAATTTTATACTAGTCTATTTATTACGGATTTATAATGTGGTAATTATTATTATTATTCTAAATTAACCCAAGAAATGCTATGGAAAACCCTTCTAGCAAAACAACAAAATGCTATGATAATCCACTATTTCTTGTACTAAGAATACAAAACCTCAAATCTTGTGAGTTCTCAATGCTAGTGGAAAATTCCATTTCGTTTCAAATGGCACACTAATGATTCTGATAACAGTTGCTCACACGCTGGTGAGTGTCTATAAACAATTAATGCACTGTGTCACATCCCAGTCCGGGGTGGATCACTTTCCGGGTCCGTTCCACCACTGTAGCACGATATTGTCCACTTTGGGTTTACCATTCCCTCACGGTTTTGTTTTTGGGAACTCACGAGCAACTTCCCAGTAGGTCACCCATTATGGGAGTGCTCTGGTTACCTTCTCGCTTAACTTCGGAGTTCCGATGGAACCCGAAGCCAGTGAGCTCCCAAAAGGCCTCGTGCTAAGTAGGGATGAGAATATACATTTAAGGATCACTCCCCTGGACGATGTGGGATGTTACAACTTGAGTTTTGCAAATATATAAATGGTTGCTAATCCAACCAATCATGCGCAAGTGTTCGATTGTCACGTACAACTTATTAGACACTAGTCATTCCCAAGTGCTAAAATTGCAAAACAAACACTACCTTAAAGTTGTAGAAAAAAATTTGATAAAACAGTTGAGAATCTAAAGGCATGTTACAGTAAAAACACTTGAGAATCCAAATTTAATGTCAACTGCTTTTGTTGGCTAGCTAATTATGTGAGCATGTGTTGTATGCCAGAGATGAAGTAAATAAGGCATTGTTTGGTTGGAAGCACATTAACGGTAAAAGCTGGCAAAGTGAAAGCAAAAGGGCTTAAAGAATTACTCACACGTTTTTGTGGCCTTTTTGTGGCTTTTGTGCATGAAAAGCAGGGAATTATTAAAATCGACGCGGATGGGAAGATCGCAAGCACATGGACGTCATCAATGCCCTTCACACTTCTACAACGCGTAGGTGCCTCACACTCCTGCCATGAACACACACACACACACACACACAAAATTGACACTTCCACCATCTCCAAGTCGCTCTATCAACGCTGCTTTGGGTGATTCTTTGATCTTGAATTGGACTGCTGTTAACTGTTGATGCAATTTGAGCGTCCAGATAACTCTTAGTTGTTTACATGTGGAGCCCTCATGGAATCAATGGCATAAGTGGTACTCGTGCATGAACAATTGTTCCTGACCTATAAAGACCTTACTTATTTATATGTGGCTAGTCTACTCATAGAAAAAAAAATTGGATAGAACAACCTAATTGTGTGATTGATTAGGCCGCTCTTACAAAAACACATATAAAAGAGCTATTATGTTTCAATCTCATCTAATGTAAAAGTTGTCATAATCAGTTAAATTTGTTCAACAATCTCTCATATTTGCAAGTCCTTAGCCTTTAGTACTTAGTCTTTGGCCTTGACCTTTGCTTTTTTCAAATTGAGAGTCTCAGATCTATTTGCAGGTAGGCAAAGTATGCGGAATGAGGAAAAAAATTGCCGAGGAGCCAAAATCCCATCAATTTTCTTCATAACCAAAAGATTAATGGTTTCTTAGTTTTTTTTCCGTCATAATTCTCTCTCTCGCAAAATCCCAAAAGGGTGCTAGTTTCTTAGTTGACTTTATATTTTTTGTCAATTTCAATTAGACCTAGTAAACTTGACTCTAATCACTATTTAATACTCCTACCTACCAAAATTTATACTAAAAAGGAAATTTTTCGACAAAATTACACTATCGCATGACGATATAAATTACGTTTCGTAATACTGAATATGATACTATAAAAACGTCATCATACAAAGAGAAAGTATACAAAAGAATTGATTTTATTGCTAAATCGATATTATAAACAAGTAACAAAAAAAAAAAAAAGGGATCTTAATAAACATTTCTATTCTTTTTTCCTCTAAATTTATTTTATTGTTTTTCCCTAACAATCCCTATAGACAGAAGAATCTATTTCTAATAAACAAATTTGCTTCATAATAATAGACTTAAGCTCGTCGTGATTACTATTACCACGTTGGATAATTGTGTGCCCGCCGGACAGCCCCGCTGCTCCGCCGATTGAACTCGGGTCCGGCACCGACTCACTTGACGTGACCAGATTAATGCTCTTCCTTACGAACGGGTTGGCAACGAGTTGACTCAAAATTCCCGACTCGGTCACCATGCTCTTCCTCTTGTGCTGCATGGTGGCCCGAACTATTTCCGTCAACACGGTGTTCGATAGCCGCCGAATTCCGCGGGATCCGCCGGTGATAACGACGGAATTAACCGCGCCGTGAGACTGAGTTGAGTCGGAGTTTTTCTTGGGGTGCTTACCCGGCGGCGGCATTGTGAATAAAAGAACCGACTCGGGACTCCGGTGCCGGACTCGGCCGAGTGGGTCCCTGACCACGACCGAGTTTTTCGCGTCCACCAACATAATATGCTTGAAGTTTCTTCGAACCCGGCCGAGAAGCATCGGGTAACAAGCCCACCGCCGCAGGCTCATCGGCACTACGTGGTCCACGAATCCGGATAGTGAGTTTTCCGGGTCCAGCTCGCCCGCCTCGAACCCCACAACCGACCCGTAACTAAACCGAGTCAACTCACCGTCGCCTTCCGAGTTTACACCCTTTTTCCCCCAGAGGGGCTCTTCAATTTCCTTTTTCCCGGCCTTGATGAACTGAGCCGCGTCGAATCCCAAACCGGGTTTTTCCCTCGCCGCAGCCGTCCGGTTTAGGCCCCCGTAACGGCGGAGGAGTACTAAGAACGAGGTGTTCTCTTCCTGGATTATGGACCCGAATCTCGAACCGGAGGAGGCGAAGACGAACGCCACGTCCGCTCTGGACGTGAGGCCGGACCGGTGCAACACCCTCAGAAACAACCGGAGCTCGGGTTCCGTGACGTCGTCGTCGAAATGGGCGACGACGAGATCGGGCATGGCTCTGGTGCCGCGGCGGTACAGAGTGCCCATCTTCTGGAGGGCAAATTGGGACTTAAACAACTTCTGCTGTTTTTGCTTCCACATTTCGGACAACCATGAGGAGGAGAGAAGGGGGAAGTTGTGATTGGTGGGCGATTGGGGAATTTGAGTACTTTGGGAGAGGAACCTTCTGGAAGGTGATGGGACGACGGGGCGAGGCTTGGCGGGGGAGGGCTCGAAGGTTGAGAGGGTGAAGAGGAGGAGGGTGAGGAAGACGAGAAGGGCACAGATGGAAATTGTGGATTGGGCTTTGGAGAGAATAAGATTGTTGGAGCTGGTTCTTCTGAAAACCGCGCATGTTTTGGAGGAGGAACAGGAGGAGGAGGATGGAGAGGAAGTGGAAGAAGAAGAGAAGAGCTTGGTGATTTTATCGACAATGGTGGTGGTGGTGCCGCCGTTTTCCTCCGGGAAGAACACCAGAAGCAAACCCATCCCCCAATTTTCACTGCTCCAGCTGCTATCGCTATTGCTCTTGGCTTTTGCTATGAAGCCCATCCTCTCTCTACCGTCTCTCTCTCCTCCCTCTGGCTTTGGCGCTTTACCTTTTGAGGATTACTTGCTGCGGTGTTCTTGGCCGCATGTGATCCCCTCTTGTTAATAAGTTTGGATTTTTGGCCTCTCTTGCTGTGCAAGAAATTAAAATTAAAATAAAAAAGGGAAAGATGGATAGAAATATAGCATGGTGTTTCCATACTTGGTAAATACGCGTATTTACCAGTTTTGTTTGTTAATTTTTTAACTATAATTTAATTTAATTGTTGGTACAAATAAATTGCAAAAGAAACTCATTACTATAAGTGTGGTAACCATCACTTATTTTAACTGTTTACCGGGGATTTTAGTTTGGTTTGTTTTTTCAAATTTGATATGTGTTTGTTTTGTAGTTTTAGTGGGTTTTTTTTTTCATTTTTAGTTTTGTTTGTTATTTTTCCTTTTTTCCTTTTCACTTAGTTTAAGCTTTCTTTTATTGTTGAGAAATTTATGAATTACAATTGTTGAATGAGCAAAATCAAAATGCTCATATTGATCAAAAGATATAAAATTAAATATTATCATGATACGTTTCGGTTTTTTTATCTTTTAGTTAATAATTTCGACACAAGTTTTCTTTCTTTTGCACTCATAAATATTATTGTCTCATAATTTTTTTTTTGTAATTTATTTAATCCAAACCAGAAATAAATAGGCCTGCAAAGGAAAAAAAAGTGCGAAGAAATTACTTTCTCTAATTGATTTGAAGTGCTATTATGACCGGGCACCAGTCTTATTTTCTCTCACCTTACCTTTAAATTGATTTGAAGTGCTATACGGTGAACAAAAAAAAAATATATATGTATATATATATATATATATATAGGGTTATTTGCTCAAAAGCCTTGCTGAAACTCATACTTGCTCTCCCATTACCTTCTGAAACTCATTTTTACTCACTTAACCCCCATAGCTATACAACCTCTCATTATGCACCTTGTTGATGCACAAAACCGGAGGTCTTGGTACAACGTAAATCCGACCGTGAATCTGCAAGAAATGTAAATAACACAAGATGTATCGTGGTTCACCCCAAGGTTTGGGCTACGTCCACACTGATAGTATTGTATTTCTCTGAGAAGCGAGGGAGAGAGAGAGCTCTGAGAGTGAGAGCGTTGAGAGGGTGAGGAGCCTTAGGAATTGGCCTCCTCTAATTGTGAGGGTGAGGGGTCCTTTTATAGAATAAGGACTCCTCACTTATTACATATTTGCCCATTCCTTTATTACATAATTACATTTAAGTCCCCTGAGTATTTATACGAGGTCTAAATACGAGGCCCTAAATATGGTATAAACAGTAGTCCGCCAAGTCTTCAGTCAAGAGAGTCTTTTGGCTAGAGACTTGAAATTCAGTCCGTGTGTAGGTCGAAGTAACTAGATGTTGTCTTGAACTGATGCTCGATATGAGGCGGTGCTCAATCTGAAATGATGCTCAATTAGAAGTAGTACACACTGCGAGGCTCGTGGCATTGGTTGGCTCGGCTTATGGCGTTTGACGGTGAGGGAGTCCCTTTTATAGAATAAGGGTTTGTTCCTCAATACATGAATGATGGGCTAGAGTTGATGCTCTCTAATGATGGTGAGGGAGTCCCTTTTATAAAATAAGGGCTCGCTCCTCAATACATAAATGATGGGCTAGAGTTGATGCTCTCTAATGGTGGTGAGGGAGTCCCTTTTATAGAATAAGGGTTTGCTCCTCAATACATGAATGATGGGTTAGAGTCCCCCAAGTATTTTTCATGAGGCCCAATTGAGGCCCAATATATGGTACATAATGTAGTCCCCCAAGTCTTCGGTCAATAGAGTCTGTTGGCTGGAAACTTCAAATTGAATCCATGTATGGGCCGAAGTGGTGGTTATTCGGAGATGGTATTTGTATACCCTGCACTGAAGCTTTGTAAGTGAAGCTTTGAAGCTGGAGCTCTGTAAATGAAGCTTTTGAAGCTAGAGCTTTTGTAAATGAAGCTTTTGAAGCTGTAGCTCTGTAAATGAAACTTTCGAAGCTAGAGCTTTTGTAAATGAAGCTTTTGAAGCTGATTGACATGAGTGATGCTCATGAATGTTTGATTGACATGAGTGATGGACATGAGTGATGCTCATGAATGTTTATGTAAGATTGATATAAGTGATGCTCATGAATGTTTATGTATGATTGACATGAGTAATGCTCATGTATAATATAAAGTACTAGGCGTACTTTTGATCACCTGGTTGGTGGCATGAAGGAGAGTACGGGTTGTACATTTCATCACCTGGTAGGTGGTAATAGCGGCGGGTTGTTAAATAATTTTGGAGTACTAGGCGTACTTTTGATCACCTGGTTGGTGGTAATGGCGGCAGGTTGCCGAATAATTGTGGAGTACTGGGTGTACTTTTGATCACCTGGTTGGAGCTATTTTGGGCTTATAAGCCTTCGCCCTTTACACAACATTCCAGCCCATTTATTTTGGGCTTTGCCGTTTTTTTTTTTTTTTTTGGTATTATTACCCTCTGATGGGGTCTATACATTCATTCAAAAATAAGAAGAGTAAACCACATCATTCTCGTGGGGTGTTTATTCCTTACTTTTGCTTTCTCTTTTACTTTCTCTTTTGCTGATGCTTTTCTTGATCTCCCCGTTCCTTCTCTGTCCACCTTGATTTGTAAGGTATCTTTTGCCAAACCCACTTGCTTTGGTCGTGCCCATCCATTCTTTCTGTCTTTTCCTTTTTCTATTTGCTTTTCTGTTCCCATTGCTTTTCTCTTTTGCTTTTTTTTTTCTTTTCTACTTTCTGCTTTCTGTCTGTGTGATGTGTGCTGAGAGGAATGAGTAGAAGGAATCATGTACTGCAACAAGAAGTTCCTGCGAGTGCAGGTGGCGATGCTGGTGGGGTCGTCATAAGCGTATGAGTAAGCCTTGGGGCACGCCGCCTTGAAGATCTTGGAGTACGCCGTCGGTTTGCACGACTGAGGGCTGCCGAAGCTGCCGATGCAGCAATACCTCGGAGAGTTGAAAGCAGAGCAAGTGCTCTTGCACGCCACCACCTGGCGGTTGTCGTGAGAGCGGATCTGAAGGCCAACAGGGTACACCATGTTTAGGTCGCTAACGCAGCCAGCGTAGCTGCACTTGCCGGAGCCCTTAAACGAGTTGATGGAGATGGAGTCGTGGAAGAGGATTGGAACCGGAGTTCGATGAAGATCAGAGACGGAGCAACGGGTCTACTTGACGAAGCTTGCGGAAGCGCTTCATCAGGTGCGACAGAACTGAGTTCTGGTAACCCCTTTCCTGCCTCCATAGTGAGGAGCAGTGTCCTGAGTTGGCCTCTTCATGCAACTTGCTAATTTGGAAATTTTCTCGTCGATCTCGTTGATAATTCGCTTTTTTAAGCTCGCGATACCTCGACTGCTCAAATTGGCAAAGAGAGAAAGTTGAGAGAGAGAGATGGAATGAGCGATGGTTGGCCTTTTGGTGTTCTTGTCGTTGATTTTTGGCGGCGGGCTGAAGCTTCTTGTAGTGCTGTCGGCGGAGGTCGGCGAGTCATTGAGCTGGTCGACCATGTCCTTAAACAGGCCCTCGCAGACGGCCAGAGCTTTCTCCAGGCGGGCGTCGTTGATCCGGTCCATGACCTGATCTATGACCAGAGAGTGCAGACCCGATCCTTGACCCGGCCCATTCATCATCTTCGTCAGGTTCGAACGCCCCCTGATCTGCCAGCGAGTGCTCAGTGTCGATCCGAACAAGATCAATGCCCCGCGATCCGGCTAGGTCGACCAGCGACTCTTGGATGAAGCTTTGCTGCTTCTTAGTGTTAGCGATGCCCCGCGATCTGGTGCTTCAGAAACACACAGAGGTGAAGAAGGTTGGGGTTGATCTAGACCGTTCGATTTGTATCCTTACACAAAAAAACACTCTTAATCAGATCTTTCTCTGAAGATACAGACACAAATAGAGAGAGATAAAGAGATGAGATAACATGATGGCTTGTTGTTTGTGGGGATTTTCTGGAAAAGATTTGGGTTCTTGGTTTCTGCAGATTCACGGTGAAGTGTGGTGAGATCTCACGATGGTGAGAAAAAAATGAAAGAGAACCGACATAGTTTTTTGTGTCGATTCCCACAGACGGCGCCAAATGTTGATGCAGAAAACCGGAGGTCTTGGTACAACGTAAATCTGACCGTGAATCTGCAAGAAATGTAAATAACATAAGATGTATCATGGTTCACCCCAAGGTTTGGGCTACGTTCACACTGATAGTATTGTATTTCTCTGATAAGTAAGGGAGAAAGAGAGCTTTGAGAGTGAGAGCATTGAGAGGGTGAAGAGCTTTAGGAATTGGCATCCTCTAATTGTGAGGGTGAGGGTTCCTTTTATAGAATAAGGACTCCTCACTTATTACATATTTGCCCATTCCTTTATTACACAATTACATTTAAGTCCCCTGAGTATTTATACGAGATCTAAATATGAGGCCCTAAATATGGTATAAACACACCTCTTTCATGGAGCAAAGTGAAAACAAGTATGAATTTCGGGAAGCGTTGGAGTAAATAAGCCAAAAATATAACAGGTTCGTATTAGTTTGCTACTTTAGCTATGCGGTGTTTTGGTTTATGCACGTCTTTACATTCTTTAAGCATGCTAAGTCATAATGCTCAAGGGAAAATCTATCAACGCATTGGTCATTAATTGTTGTTCCACAAAATGATATGCTATATTATATTAAAAGTACAAGTCAGCAATACAGTTAAAAATACAGTTAGCAATACAGTTAGTAAGTTGGTTAGTATTTGGTTAGAGTAGTTAGACTTTCTCTTATAAAAACTGTGTGTGTAACTTTCATTCATCAGTTAATACAAATCATATTTCTCTCTCTAAACTCTCTCTCTCTCTAATATCTATGTGTTCATCCTTCTGTTCATCCTTTCTTCTTAATTTTCCCTTCAATTCCCAAATATTTCAATGTAGTTAAAATGGTATCAGAGCCACCAGGCTCACACCATGGATTATGGTGGTTCCGTTTTGGATTAGATTTCATCGTTTTCTATTTTTATTTTCTATTCAAATTTTCAATAAAATTCTATCAAGTTCTTTGGTGCTTCAGCGATCATCCTATAATTTTTTGGTTGATTTTTCGTCTGGGCTATAAATAGAGAATGTCGGTCAAAATATGGGTCGTCAAAATTGTTCCTTCAAGCCAAATAGAAGTGGCAATTTGTTTTTTCTTTTCAATTCTTGAAGTTTCAGTCCTTGAATTCGGGAATTTTTCAGATTTTCATCGAGTTCTTGATACAAGGAAGAAAGATGGGATGTCAAGCAATTTTTTTTTTTGGATCCAATGGAATCTCTTCATCTCAATTGGTGACCCTGTGTTGAATTCCTTTTCCTCGTTCTTAGCACCATTTTCCTCCATTGGTCGGCTCATCTTGAATGGAGGGTTTTGGGAAGTTCTTAATCCAACAGCTGAACCTAGTCAAACACAACGAGGGAGAAGATTTGTGTGATAGGGGTAGGACTACGTGAGATTTCCCAAGCATTCCCATGAAGGTAAAACCAAATTCCTCTCTGAGTTGTCGATTATTGCTTGTCTGCGAATTTGATATGTGTTCTACTCTCTGGTGTGGAAGAAAGTTTAGACTTTTGTGTAGTCCAAGTGTTTGACGAAATTACCAACTCAGAATTTTCATGTGAAGGTTAAATTTTTCAGCCACTTTTTCTGAATTTCTTACGATGATTCTTTTAGTATTATGTAAATCAATTAGTTTGTTGTTGTGAGCATGAAGTCATTCAGTTGATATGTTGAGTATTAAGTGCTTGAAGCCATCTTTCTTGTGAGTCATTTCTAGGCTCTTTCGCAACATATGGGTTAAAGATTGGTCATTGCTTCAAGATCAGCGTTTGTGATATTTGGGATATTTGGATTCAAGAATATTGGTCATTGCTAGATTGTGCAATTTGTATGGTGTCCAGTTTTTTCTCTCTCACTGATATGCTGCTGTTCTATTGGGTTTGATTTTCTGCAAATCTTGATATGTTTAGTGAAATGGGTATGGATTCTTGGGTTTGATTGCTACTGATATCTTTAGGGTGTTCATTGTTGAATTACTCAAGAAGTTTTGCAGTATCCAATTCTTGTCTTTCTCTTTCACTGATTTTTTGCAATTCTGTTGAGGAGTTTGTGCAGTAATTTTCCCTTATTACAACCTATAATGTGAGTCTAACCAGCTCAGTTGTTAGCATGAATCTACAGTAAGTCCGGTTATATAATGAAGTTTGAAGAAGTTGTAAACAGTAAATCCCACGAAGAGTAATTCCATGATGTGAGTAGGTAAATCCCACGAAGGGTAAAAGAAGTTGTTAACGGTAAATCCCACGAAGGGTAATTCTATGATGTGAGTAGGTAAATTCCACGAAGGGTAATCCTACATAGATGTTGATTTTCTATTGTTGAAATTGTGAAGGCCGATACCATTGTTCAAAGAAGTTGTTTTTGGTAAAATCCACAAAGGGCGATCCCATGGTGTTATAGTTAAGGCCGATGCCACACTATAATTTGTTAATTTTCTATTTTTGTAAATATTAAAGGCCGAATCCAAGTTGAATGAGATTGTTGACGATAAATCCCATGAAGGGTAAACTCGTAAGAAATTGTTATACCAGCATGAGGGTGTGCTACGACTACCTTATAGAAGGATGTCATTTGAGAAACTCCTGTTAGAGGCAGAGGAAGGGTGTCAATTACTGCTATTGCTATTCTTCCTACAGGGTGACGAAGCCCACAAACATGGAAGAAGATGACAAATCTCCACAAAAGCTTACCGGAGGTCATGAGTGCAACCCCACAGATATAGATTCAGATGAACATTTTAGTGTAGAGTCAAATAATGATTCAGAAAAGTATATCATTATAGAATCAGATCATTTTCCTCCAAATGTACTGATTACACGAAGAATCTAAATACTGCAGATACTTCAGTAAACGAGGGAACACAATTATGTGCTAGTGGAGATGTTTCGAAGGCAGTTAATGTGCCACATTCTTACTATGATTCAAGGAATGATGCTTGATGAGTTAGTATTATATTATATATTTTACCATATTCTTAGTATTAATTTGGTAAATATTTTGGTAGAATTTTGATACTTTGCTTTATATTTTCAATATAGGACATTCGACTTCCTCTAGAGAAAAACGTGACCAAACAGATGAATTTTGGAGTGATTCAAATTGGAGGACGTTCGTGTGTTCCTTAGCTTGTTCGTATCAAAATTTTGGATTTTTCTACCAAGCGGTTATTTTCTGGTGATTAAATAAAGGAGCAGAGCATGTTGCTGGAAAATAACATTTCTGGGCTTAAATTGCATTTTTGGAGCTCAAGATGACCTCAGATGGGTTCGTGCCCTTCCAGGTTTTGGAGACTATATGGGTCCAGAACGTGGCTGTGCAGATTTCTAGGCGAATTTACCAAGTCAATTTAGGATTATGTTTCCTATTTTATTTCAATTTATTTAGTTTCCTAGTCTAATTCTAAGACCTTTTACTAGGAGGATTTTAATTAGAGTAGTATAAATAATCCTTTGGCCAGCCATAGGGGGAGGTATGCAAGATTTGAGAAGAGGGATTGGCTAAGGCTTATAGATTTTCATATTCTACAAGGTGTTTTCATTCTTTTTCTAGTTTTTAATAATTCTTTTGATTTTAAATTATGAGTATGCGTAGCTAATTTTCTTTTGCTAGGGCGAAACCTCTTAGCATGAATGTGTAGTTTTTATTTAATTGCTTATGATATTATGCATGCATACTTTGAATTATTAATCACTGTGCTTTAAATTGTCTTTGTGTCTTAATGATTCGCGACCATTAGGATGTTTAGATAAGTAATTAGATGCAATTTGGTCGGAATGCCACCAGGGAATTGGATATTGCTTCTTGTGATTGATAGTTGTAATTTCACCTAGGGCGAATGCCACGTTGTAGGGGTTGCATGGTCTTTCAAAAGGTTTTCACAAAGCATAATGAGTCATGCATGTTTATATTTTAACTGAATGTCACAGACGGATTGCATGTTTGATATATGTTCTATCTTGAATGCCA